AAGTCACCGTGATTGCGAGCTTCAATTAGATTGGCAGGACCAGCCGCCGACAGGGATTTAGCAGTGTTGTGTTTCATTAATGCTTGGTTTTTAAATTCACGTGTGTCTACAGAGGCTTTGCGTGCTGAAACAGCTCAGTTTGGGGGTTTAGTTGGCTGGCCGGTTTTGGTTTTGTTGTGGATTGGTTGGGTGTTAAAATTCCAATGGAGATGGGCTGAAAACACATTAGTTAGTTGAAAGAAACAGCGGTGTCTCTGCAAGCCGAATTCGGAGTCCCTTATTGTAAAAACAGTGTTTCAAACACCTGAAGCTGTCAGCCTCCTCGCTGCTCACCACCGCCCCGCAGCACTGAAGGAACAACAGTACCCTGACCGAGCTGATCCGATAATGGTGTGGCAGAGACCGACAGAACCCGGGAAAGGGTCGTGCTCCCAAAGCAGCGCTCCCTCGGGAGCAGCTCACTGCGCCTCAGCATGTGACACCCTTTTATTACTTTCTATTATTGACACTTTAAATAAGTGCCCATTCTTCTGGCTACGAAACGGCTATGGCGGCAGAAACTGGGGCTGGAAATGCTTTTGTGTAAAAAATGTGCATGGTCTGAAAGGAAAGCTAATTTTCTGGCGTTTCAAGGAATGCCATAGCCAATTGTACTTGAGGAAAACTGCAGATGTATTCCTGATTTTATAGAAAGAGGTTATAATTGTAGGAGTGAAGTGGCATGAGGACAAGGAAGCGTATGTGAAACCAAGCTGAAAGGATCAGGCAATTGCAGTATTAGAGGTCGTGTAGAAAATGAGAGCTGCTGTTGTAGGGGCTTGTTTCTGTCACATTTAATGTTCGTTGCGCAGCTGTCCCGTTCTCATGTTAACCTGCATTTCATCAAGCACAGGAACAGTTGTGCGTGGATCTGTTACCTCAGAGAGTCTGCTCTTACACCAGGCTGTCACTTTGTCCTCAGCAGTTGCCCGGCTTTGCAGTTCTGCTTCTTCCCTGTGAGGTTATTCCATGGTCTAAAATACCCTGTTTTTCAGAAAACTTTCATAAACAATCTCTTTCCTAATCAGCATTTCACTCATCTTTGAATTCAGCATCACTTATTTGGTGATTCTCTGAGTGCATGTACAGTTTAGAGGCTTTGAGACTTCTAAATCATAATTTAGAATCATAATAATCATAACTAACCAACTTTTATTTCTCTTCATCTGTGCAACTTCCAGTTTATTAGCATTGTTATGGTAATGGGAGCTCAAAAATGGATTTCTGAAAGTGTTGCACCAGACCTGTGTTATGATTTGTCACTTCTCAGCTCAGCGAAATATTTCTGCATAGGGATCAAACCACACACTTTGCAAACACATAGTTGATTGAAATCAAGCTATCCAGATGGTTCAAGAAATGCCTATGTTTTGGTGACGTAATGTCTTGAAGCTTCAGCTTCAGATTCTCTTTTCATTTTAGAGTCTTGTTTATTTTTTCTTTTTTCATCTTTTTTTTTTTTTTTTTTTTTTTTTTTTTTTTTTTTTTTTTTTTTTTTTTTTTTTTTTGCCAGATTTTACTACTCATTCACGGTGTATAATTTCATACAGTGATACAGGAGCAATTGTTCCATTACTTTTTTCCCTTCTCTCTTTTACTCGGTTGGATTTCTTCAGACCGTGACCTGGAGTTTCTTCATTACATCTCCAGGGCAGAATCACTCTGCTATATGCAATTTCAGGTGCTGTGATGAGGCATGTGAGACCTGTGCTACATGCACCAGTGGAAGCACTGGTGGAAACTCTAGCGAGGTCCAATTTGGCAGAAACTTTCTGTCTTCCACAGCCTGTCCTGCCTCCTCCTCCCTATTTCAGACAGAAGATGCACTGTTCTCAAGCCTGCTGGGATTGCCACTCATATGATCATTCCTTAACTCATTTCTCTCAAAATGACCCTGCTTATTTTAGGCAGTTTCAGGTGTGATTCCTTGTCAGTTTCTGATCATCTAAACAGCAACTTCTCCCACCCTCTCCTTTCAATCCAACCTCTGTGTTCCCATCTCTTTTCCTGTGCTGGCGCTTTGCTGCATCTCCTATTGCCAACAAGGCTGGTTTTGGCTGTACAGGTGACTGAGGGAATTGGCTTCAGGACTGAGCACCTGTGCTGGGGGACAGTGACAGAGGTAATGCTGTCCCTTCTGTTCATGCTGTTTCTTTCAGGAGCTTCAGAAGACTTGCTGTTTGCATTTTTTTTTCAGTGTTACAATTTGCACTAATTGTCCCTCTTAATACCGACTCCATCATTTTTTCCTCTATGAAATTATCCTGTCACTTACCCATTGAACTAGCAATGTACTGAACTAGCTCTAATTATCAAATTGATATATATATGATGCTTACAAAAATAATATGTCTTTGAGTAGTCCACAAACCCGTGACAGTGCAAATATCAATGCAGTCTAATTTTAACATGACACAGTGAGTCTTCTGTTCATTAGCTTTTGTTCATTGTCTTATATCCAGCTTGATAATAATCCCCTGATTTATTTTGGATGGATTTTTTTTTAGCTGCTATAGTTGTATAATCCTTTGTATAGTTGGAAAATCCTTTGTATTCCATTTTAGATGTGAGGCAGGTCTTTGGGGGATATGTTCATTGACCATAAGACACTTGGGGTCCTCAGCCAAGAGGTTGCTCTGTAAGTTATTTCCAGCATGACTTGAGAGACAGAAGAGAACTGCCTGGAGCTGGGGAGAGACACAGGAAGGATGCTTACATCAAACAAGATTAAATTTGCTTGGGTTTGACTGGTATGGTTTATGTCAATTTTGGTGTGTTTGTCTGTTTGCTTTTAATTAATTAGACTATAGTTTTGTCTGTAATAGTGGGTCTTATATAAAAAATAAAAAATTAATGCTATAACCTCCTGGCATTTGGGACTTCATGCATGTTGTTATTGCCAAATCTGAAGCTCATAAAATAATTTTGTTGTGTTTTCACTCTCAGCCAAAGTGATGGGTAACATGAACTTTATAACATGAACTATTCATTAATTCAAATGGAAAATCTGCTTACTAAATTTTAGCAGCTTTTTTTTTCTTCACACAGTATTTAGTAAAGAAAGTGTTTGCTCCTGACTCCTTTTCAGCCATCTCAGCACCCTACAGAGGAGGGCAACATACTTTAAGAGTACATGCTGTTTTTGCAGTCCTCTGCTGAAGTAGGCCGTGGACGTGTGAGTAAGACTCACTTTACTGTTAATTTATCTTCTTGATGCTCAATATCAGGCTACATTTTCATCGACTGAATAACTGTGGAGTCATTATGAAGGCAATAAGAACTGAGTTACTACCCTTGGAAGTGATTACTGCTGGATTTTTGCCTCTTAAGCCTCCAAACAGGATGTTACGTTACTATATGCAGTTCCCTTCCCTGATGTGCTGTCTGAGCATTGGCCAAGCTATCAGATTCATGCAGAACACTAATCCCAGTGGAACCAATGGAAGTATAAATGAGACCACAAAGGACAGTTTTCATTTGCTTTGCTTCTTTTTTTTTTATTCACATGGAGTGATCCCTCTTAATGAAATACTATTTAGTGCAATCTAGTAGCCTGATTGCTAGCAGCTATTAAATCATCAGATTTGTCCTTACTCCTCTGTCTTTTCTTTGTTACCTTTGTTTGCCTGTCTTCTTCTTTTAAACACAGTTGGTTTTCAACAAACACATATGGCTCTCAGGAACACAGATGCCAGGTCACATGTGTGATAGGCACAGCTCCAAAATTATCATCATGGAGGTTTATCCCTGAAGCTGAATTTTCAGAGCTGAAGGAATAGTTTGAGGCTGAAGTGTGCAGCCTGGTTATGAGAATTACAGTCTAAACCATGCCTTACATGTGTCCTTTGCTTTGGAAAATAAAAACTTGGTTTTTAAAGTATCTGGATATGCAGAAATCAGGAAAGGGAGTGTGGTAGATGCCAGTCAGTGAGGGCTTCCTCTTAGCTACCATATTTATTAGCCTCAGCCTGGTGCAAGGCACAGGAGCCATGTGAATAGGAAACGCACAAACCAGCTGGCAGCGCTGGCTGTGTTAGGTTAGCGAGCAGCAGATTTCTCTCTTACTTAGGTCATATTCTTATCTTCTGCTTGTCCATCTTTATATTGGAGTAGTGTTCAGAGGCCCCAGAAGTGAAGAAAATAACTGCATTGCAGACCTTTATGAAGAAGTTGTTATGACTGCTAATGCTTCTTCCTGCTCTACTGCTACAAACTCTGATATAGTGCAGCAAAGAACTGATCAGTTACTGAAGGAAGTGTGTGAGGAAACCTGAATTTTTAGCCTCACAAAGAAGTGGCTGGGAGGCATGGAGAGAGGAAAGGAGAGGAGGCTGGGATTTCTGAGACTGCATCAATACTTTAAAGAGTTGTTCAATGCCACACCTCACGTATATCTTGCTCATGCTTTGGCAATCCTAAGAAAGCAGTTGCTGCCACTGTAGTTTCTGAAGTGGCTGATGCTGCACGTTAATGTGCTTGCTGTATACATTCGCTTATA